AAAAAAAAAAAAAAAAAAAAAAAAAAAAGGCAAATATCGACCCGGAGAAAAAATGAAAAGAGAAAAGGGGTCTTCTCCATAGAGACCATGATACAAAAAAGAGGGGATAAAATATACATTTTGGAGGCGTAAAAATTTAATATGCAGCTGTGTAGCTATATTTACACGTCACGCTACAATTTGTATTGTTTCAATTTGCACTTAAAAGTAGTGGGTTAAAAATTGTGTCTCTTCTCTATTCTTCGTTCCTACTTCAAGTCACAGCTGAACCCGATATGTGGATGACCTTTTTTAATTGCCTTCATTAGGCTCGTCGCGTCCTCACTGTCTGGTTCCTCTCACCCAACTTTCTTCTTCCTTGCGTACTCACTCGAATAGGTATACAGGAAGGACCCCAGGGTGGTCAACAGAATGCCCACCAGTGTATACACGTTTAGCTCCTCCGCATGATAAAATTTACTTATGAATGTCTGCATGGTGGACTTGACATTTCCAAACATGTTATAGACCACGTTGTCGGTGTAGTGAATGCACAGGAAGGAGGAAAATGTCACAAAGATGGAAGAAATGCCTGCGATGGGGGGAGGGGGAGGGCGACAAGTTGAGTGTTAGCCAATCGTTTTCTTTTATTAATGACTTTTTTGCGAACCCCTGATTGGTGGGTCGATCACTGGAGTTAGGTCCCCCTTTTTATATTTGCTCACAGGACAAGGCTAGATAAAAACAAACGCGATGGCTCCAGAGGAAAATGGAAAAAAACTCTCCTCTTATGCACAGGTAAATAAATAAAATGATAGAAGAGTACAATATGTTGTAGTACAGCATGACCGTTTTGTTGTGATAAATCATTAGCTTCTTCTTCAGGAGGTTCAGGTGAATGGCTTGGACGACGGAGACGGTGGTGCCTGTTGGAGGGGGGGGAGGTGAACTCGGTTAAGGGGTCGACTCGGTTAACAGGTGCACTCCGTTAAGAGGTCGACTCGGTTAACAGGTGCACTCCGTTAAGAGGTCGACTCGGTTAACAGGTGCACTCCGTTAAGAGGTCGACTCGGTTAACAGGTGCACTCCGTTAAGAGGTCGACTCGGTTAACA